AGATCCCAGGTGTCCCTGAATCCCCTTGATAAAGACTCGGATGGGGCTCAGAGAAGCAGGGCTGTGTGCCCCAGGTTAGGAGAGGGACCCCAGGGCTGGCTCCCTGTGACACCGCTTATCCTCAGAGGGTGCTTCCCAAACTCCTCCGCTCCGGGAGGAACGCGCCGGAGAGTTCAGCTCATCGCAAACCGTTTTATTTGTGGTGCCAATAATTGGAAAATCAGTTAAAAAATGGAAAGCTCTCAGGAGCGAGCCCCTTCCACTCTCTGCCATGCACATCCCTGACTGCCCACAGGGATGGACCTGCCCCGCTGTGCCTGCTCTATTGAACAGTGCTCCTCAAAGGGGAGGTTAATGAGTGTTAACTGGGGAGTCGGTTGCCCCCAAGCAGGTATTCTTGGCCTCGAAGTGCCCCAGAAGCTATTATTGTGCGAGCAGAGTTTTGCTTTAGCCCTGCAGAGACCTGGAGAGTGAAACGTCCTTCCCTAGAGGGGCCACAGAAGCGTTTGCTTGGGATTTCCTTGCAACTGTGGGTTTCCCCAAGTAAAGGGTTCCAAAGAGCGGAGGGGGCTCCTGCAGGGATCATTCCCACCTGAACTGCATCAAATTCTTGATGAAACTTGTTTGGGGATCTGAGATGCCATTTCCTAGAGACTGCCCGATCTAAACCCGACTCCAGTTCCTTTCTTCGCAGGGGGCCTCAGATAAGTCAGGGCTTGTTTTTCTAAGTCTTTCCCCCCCGGGAAGTCAGAAACAAACGGCCAGGCTGCGTTGTGCAACCTCCTCCCGCTTGGCAAAGCCTGTTGTTGGAGGCTGGGGCCAAGTGCAGGAATGAAGGGTCCCCAGTGGTGTGACCAGCTTTGCCCCTCGAAGGGGTCAAGGGAGGGGTTATTTCACACTTTGCAAAACGAAAACCGCGTTTTCTGTCCGAGATGGACAAGAGATGTGTCATCTGGGCACTGTGCTGAGAGCAGTCCTGCTGTGACCCAAAGGGGAGAGGTCCTGCAGGTCCAGGTGCTTGCCCAGAGGACCTCCAGCCAGTGCTCGCACGTCCTACAAGGCAAGATGCATCGATGTTCCAAGAGCCCTGCAATTTTCACAATGTTTTTTCTTTTCCAGTTTTGTGGGTATCTCATCACCTGTTTGGGCAATACAAACAATCGTGGCCCTGACAGGATTTGTCTTCATCTCATTTTAGCAGGGACTGGAAACTTTCAAGGCAATTTTTGGACTCCTTCTCCCCAGAGAAGGAAAAAAAAAAAGAAACAGTGCCCATTTTCATAGTACCAGGTAAAAAGCTGATATTGAATGTGTTGCAAACTTTATTTCAGGGCAACCCAAAGCATCTTCGAAGTGTTCAAAGGAGTGCCCCAACTTTACAGAGCAGAAAGTATCGGCAAATCGGATAAAGAGCTACTCCAAGACTGACCCTCAGTGCATAAAACCAGCCATCATGTAAGTGCAGCCCCACCACCTCCTCCCTTGCTGTACGCCCTCTGGCACGGAGCAAGGAGCAAACTAGAATCAGAGAGAATGCTGGTATTTATTTGAACGGTGGCTGGGGTTTTTTCCTATTTAAAACCTTCAGGTTGGATCAGGGGCTCACGCAGGGATGGATGGGTGGATGGATGGATGGATGTGTGGGTGGGTGGATGGATGGATGGATGGATGGGTGGATGGATGGATGGATGTGTGGGTGGGTGGATGGATGGATGGATGGGTGGATGGGTGGGTGGGTGGATGGATGGATGGATGGATGAGGAAAGGGGCTGATGACCATGGCCATTGGCAGAACAGGGCAGTGGGAGCAGAGCTCACATGTTTTTATGGAACATGTTTTTATTTCCTCTGGAAAGAGGTTCAGACTTGTGAGCTGGTCTGGAGACAAGCAAAGCTACATTTTTCTTTTGCCCAGGATAATTATTGGTTTCAGCTTATCCTGAAGGTGAGGCACCATTGACATCACTTTATTGCCAACCCGGGAGGTTATTCCAATGTGAACCTGATGGGCTGACCTTGGAAAATCTCATTTCCCTCCATAAATCAGAGGGTTTTGTCTTCACACAGGCTTGCCCCTGTGCGGCTGGTGCCTGTGGAGCTGACTGCTCCCAGTGCTGGAGGCTAACACTGCATCCAAACATCAGGAAAGACAAAAGCTTCTTAGGGGAAAACCCTTCACCCATGAGTCACCTTCAGCTGTTACTCATTCAGCCAGATCTTGGAGACACCTGCCCTTTGTAAAATAAATAACCCATTCAACCCGGTGGTGTTTACCGTGGGCTTGAGTCAGTGTTGCTGTATGCCTTCCCTATCACGCTGACCATCTCCAACAGCGTTTCCTTCAGCCAGTAAGCAATCCCTTTTCCTTTTCAGACTTACCACTCTGAAGTCCCTCGAGATCTGTGCAAATCCAGAGGAAGACTGGGTGAGGAACATCATGGCGAAACTGGACAAGGAAAAGGCCACGGCCTCCCCGCTTCCCCGTGACTCCACCCCAGCAGCAGCACCAGAAGCCCCCGGTGGTTTTCAGAAACAGGTTGGTCTTACACAAACAGCCCCAACTCCTTTCCTCCAAGCCACTGGCACAACAGTTTTGGAGAGAATAGATGATCCTGCTGCCAGGACGGAGGTGTCCAACAAGTCCATGCAGAACACCACCCAGCTCACTTCTGCCAGCTCTGAAGGCGCTCCGGAAGCAAACAGAGATTCCTTAAAACCTCCTGCACCTTCAGGTTTTGCAGCAGGCATGGTCTCCAGCCAGCCCACCCCGTATCCCAAGGCTCTTGTGCATGGTTTTGACCCCACCGTAGGACCTACAGAAGAACCTGCAGGGCGTACTGCAACTGCTAAGACTGAGGTTCAAGTCATGAGTTCTCCTACGGCCATTACTAAAGGATCAGACCATCCTGTGCATCCTACAAACGAATGCCTGAACTCTACAAGTGCACCAGGTGCTGCTTCTAGTGGGTTTAGTTCAGATGTCCCCCCTAGCCTGGACAGCATGGAAATTGCCACAGCCACACCGGTTCCACCAGAGGTTACTGAAGTTTCTACTCTAAGCTCCACAAATGTCAGAGATGATGGTTCTTCTGACCATACCAGCAGGGCTGTGAATCCCTCCGCAGATGCTTTTGGTACCAAAACATTCGATTATTCATCACCGGTAGGAAAGCAAGAGCCTCCAGGTCTGTTAAACTTCACTGCTCCAGCATTCTCAGGCCAAGGGCGAGTGCAGATGATTACGGAGGGACCAAACGATCTGCCCCTTCCTAGCTCGTTGTCCAAACGTGAAATGCACTTGGTCATCCCGGTGGCTGTGGTAGGTGGTCTCATGGTTTGCACCGTTGCTGTCGTATGGCTGTATCTGAAATTTGGCATCAAAACAGAAGACATGTCAAGAGAAATGGTACAGGGCTTGCTCTACCAGAAGGAGGCACATCCCAACAACGCCTATCCAATGGGCATTGTCTGAATGCTTTATGGCACGGACAGTTTTGGCTTAAACTACACACACACAAAAAGCTAAGTTTATGCTGAACTGGTGACCAAGGCAGGGAATAAAAATACCAGAGAAAACCCATTTATTTCCAGAGCAGGACATGCAAAAATATACCTAATTCGTCGTGGAACAACAACGGCATTTTGGGAATAAATGAGATGCTTTTCTTCTTCTGGCGCTGCTACGTACAAAGGCTGTTGCTGCTGCTCTCGAGCTGCTTGGTGGCTCTTGGCCAGGTGGTGGGCAGCAGCAAATTTCCAAACTGCTGTCGGGGGGGGTTTTCCTGCGTTTCATCACAGCCCAGCCGTGAAAACCACCTGCTCGCCCACACTGTTGGACTCTGGCTCAGTCGCCTCGAGACATCTTAAGGCGAAGTCCACACGATTTGCACTTAACAGAACTCTTGGCTGCTTCTTTCTTTGCACTGCAGGGTGCTGCTCGGCCGGACCCAGCCCGATGCTGGTGGTCAGCGAGACCCTGGATCTCCTTGGGCTTCCTCTCCGACGGCTACGGGCGTTTCTTCTTGCAGATTTAGTCGGAGACCTGGTTCTTGGCAAATCAACGGCCACAAATCCAGCTGATGCACCCAGCGCCAGGGCAGGGTAATATGGATGAGCTTTTGCAAAAAGGGAGAAAACAAGACGACAGCCAACAATTTAGTTGTTCCTGCAATAACATGGGAGGGGGTTTTGCTGTTCTCTGCAAGCACAAAACCCAAGAAATCCTCTCTTGGAGCAGCTAAAGGCAATTCTGGATTTAGTCACATAGGAATTACTCCACCACAGGAGAGTGGCCATCCTTCTGGTCCTCTGTTCTCTCAAAATAAGCACATTTGCAGATCCATAAAAAAAAAAAAAAGCCCCCACAGAATGCCTTTTTGTGGTCCTGTGCTTCAGCCGCATTTTAGTTGCCTTTTTTTTTTTCAGATCAAACCATCACCCGACTGCTAAAGCACCATAACAGCACCAGCTAGATTTTGATTTTTACACATCTAGTATGCAAACCTCATCTTTTATCTGCAGTAAGTTCCTAGAAGCCCTTATTAAACGCCGACTCCAGCAGTAATTTTACTGGAGCAGGCAAAGTTTTTCATAATGTTACGTTTTCTGGGTAGAGATCAAGGATCAGATCCTCCTCGAACCAACCTCAGAGGATCAGATCCCAAAGTACAAACATGCCTGTGAAGAAAAAAAAAAAAACAAGAAACCAAGCCCACATAATCAGCAAGATCATGAAAGCAAAAATGACAGGCCAGCTGTGGGTTATTGGATCCATCGGGTTGCATCTTCAAGGCGTCCACCCAGCCTTGGAAGCGGAGAGGGTAGGCTGCAAGGGGGTTTGTTTTCTGCCGTAGTTCAGTTCCTGGTTTCTGCTTTTTGTTGACTTGAGGGAGGGGTCGGAGACTCCACTCAGGGTTTGTAAGTACAAAATTGGATGAATTGTCATTAGGAATCCGGGAGTGAAGCCCCTCCTCGCGGGCTTGCTTTCCCTGGAGGGTGGATCGGGGGCTCTCAGCGCTGCCTCCCCACCTTCCCTGCTCGTGCACCACTGGGCTTCGTGTACTCTGGCATTGTTTTTATACGAAATACTATAAATGTTATTTTTTGTGGTTAAGTCGTGTAGCCGTTTGAATTTATGTAATGTCCTGTCCTTGCTACTGGAGCATCACGAAGCCGAGACCCTTCTGGGGACATCAAAAACCACCGTGCCTTGCCCGTTTTCTTGCCAGGCTTGGATGGTTTGTGCAGGTCCGTGGGAGCTGGGTCGCTCTCCAGGCAAATGGAGCGGACACTTGTCTTGCCTGGCTACGGGTGCAGCCCTTGGCTTGGAGTGATGCTGGGAAGGGGAACGTGCGCCGGTCAGATCGCCTCCGGTCCCACCACGGTGTCTGTAAGGACGCTGGTTGGAGCTCTAAGGTGGGTTCCCGTCTGCAGTGGCATCATCAGGAGCTGCTCCTCCAGCCTGGACCCATCCTTGTGCTCGTCTCCGCTCCCCTCCCTCATTCCCGGGCTGCAAGCAGGCAGGGGGCTGGCACCCCTCATGGCAGGGAAGTTAAAACCAAGGCTCGGGGAAGACGGGACGGCTGTTCCTCCTCGCTGGGCGATGGCTGGGAGGGCAGGAGGTGAAGGATGGAGCCTCACGGTGCCACGGGGCTTAAAACATCATCTGCGGTAGAGCGCGGTGGCCGTGATGAGCTCTGATTCGTTTGTGTACCAAGTATGTACGAGTGTGTGCACGAGATACGTATTCTGTACCTTTTTTTTTTCCCCAGAAGTAATAAAGTCTTTACATTAAAAACTCTTGTCCTCAGGGGATTCAGCCCAGGGCTGGGTGACCAAGCGTGGTCCCTGCCGAGGCGTGGAGGTGACTGCATGTGACAAAACACCACCGGGAGGGAATCCCAGCTTTGCTGAGAGCAAACCTGATGCAGTTGGGTTATGTTTCCACAAGAGCTTTGGTTTTCCCCAGAATCAGCGGGGCAATATATTTTCTCACCGGCAGTCGCATTTCCCACCCTGCTTAGGCAATACTGAAAAAAAAAAATAAAATTAGATGCAGCTGGTTTTTTTGGGTCTGTTTAAGCGAAGTTATAACCAGACAGCAACGCACGGAAAACAAGCGTCATGCTCCAAGCCTGTTCCGTAAGGGAGAAGAGGCTGAGGGCTGAGCTCAGACCTCTCCCACTCCAGCCAGGGCTTGGGCTGCTCTCTGGTGCCGGGCAGGAAAGGTGGGAAAGGTGACGTGATGTGAGAGTGAGCGCCCAGGGGAGCTGGAAGGAGCAAGAGGGTGAGGGACAAGCATCTCTCCCACATCCCAGGAGAGCTGGTGCAGGTAAGCAGCTCTGGGAAGAACACTTTTCTTTGTTTTTTTTTCTACCCCCTGCTCTTTGTTAGGGACAGATTGTGGGTGGCAAGGGCGAGCTTGTGTAAACAAGTTGGCCCCAACAGAATGAATCATTTCCGATGAATGTGGCAAGTGTAGACACTGGAGTGGAGCCCTTCGAGGCACTCAGGGAGCTTTTTGGTGCCTGGTCCCTTGGCCAGCTGGTGGCACTCACTCTGCTGCTCTCCAGCCGTGCAGGGAAAGACCTTGTGTGACGCACGCCCAGCCGTGCACCTCTTCGTGCTCCTCCTGGAGCAACAAGGGCTGCCTCAGGTGTAGAATTTGGCCCGGGAGAAAACTAATGACAAGTCTGTCACGCTGAGGTGAGGTGAGGTGAGGCACGTAGTGGGCAAGACGTGCTCCTGCCTTGAGGTTCCCCTCCCAGCCCAGAGGAGACATGGCACCCATGGTCCTGGTGTGGCTGGGGCCCTGGCTATTGGGTAGACCTTGGACCTATGCCCTAGGTCTCTGCTGCTGCTGGGCACCTCCTATCCCTCCCAGATGGATCCTGGAGCTGGTTTCTTACATTGGTGTGTGACCATTGCTGGACCCTGTCATCAGAACCCAGCTCTGCTGCCCATGCTCAGACCCTGCAGGCTCTCACCTTACTGGTGAGGGCACCGCCTGTGCTGGGGTCACCCTTGGTTCCCGGCTCGTCCCCTCTCTCTGCTCCCTGCAGTCTGGACCTGGCAGTGAGACATTGTCTTCTCCAAGCCCTGACTTCCCTCCAGGGTGACGTGTGAGGGTCACGGTTATTCCTGTGAAGCAGAGACCCTGTAGTGTCCATCCTCTCTGGTTTGAGATTTGGAATGTAACTCACGAAATATGTGTCCCGGCTCGTTGTGGTGGTTTTTCCTATGAAATGTTGCCTCAGCACACTTGCGCTTCGGGCAGCCTCTGGTCAAGCTGACGTATCACCACCTCCGTAACGCTGGCTTAGCAGAATTCAGGATGTCCCTCCCCTTCGCTGCTTTGGCTCTGCAGTTCTGCTGGGTGGCTGTGGTTCTCCCACGCTTTGTATTTCCTTAATCACCACTTTTATGAGGGCTGTGTCCCTCTTCATGTCCCTGCTCTTGCAGGGACTCACAGAAAGTTCTTGTGTTGCAGGTAAAGAGTGGTTGCTCCTGATGGTCCCCTTGCACAGGCAAGAACCCCTGTGGAAACGGAGCCAAAGGAAGAGCAGAGCTCACTCCTGCTCTAAACTTGTGATGGGCAAGAGCTCAAGAAAGCCAGGGCATGAGTGGTGCTGTGGGGGTGGAAGATAGGGACCAGTGCCAATCTACCCGGGGGAGATGAAATTCCTTCCTGCCCCCGATCAAAACCTGCCTCCTCGTCCCACAGGCTGGTCCCAGGAGATGGCCAAGCCCTATTCTCCCTCAGCCTGGAGTCATCTTTGGAGCTTCCCAGTGTGGCCAAATTACCCCAGCCTGATCGACCTTGGGAGCAAGAAGCCTTCCTGTGCCTGGCAGGACACCAGTGGGTGCTCCAGAGCACTGGGACCCCTGGCAACATCTCTGTACCCCAGTTCTTACAGCTGCTAGCCCTGGCTCCGTGGAGGATGAGGATGGCGAGCTCTGCAAGGCCCTGTTCTTCTGTTGTCACAGCTTTACTTTAAAATAGGAGCTCAGGCAAGGCCAGGGTTGAAAAAAGGAGGCTGAAGTCCTCACCAAGCATCCTTTCCCCTCATCACTACCTGGCACAGAAGCTCCCCCAGCACAGTCTTCCTTGGGAGCAGCAGCTCCTCCTGATGCCTCAGCCCCACCCTTCCCTTAACCTCAAGGTGGATGATCAACCTCACTGGAAGAAAATGGCAAAATGTCTCTTTTTCAATGCATTTGAGAAAAATGGCACCACAGACTTTTTTTTCCTCTCCCTTCCTCCTTCGAGAAATGGCTTCTTCCAGTTCCTGGCCCAGGTGTCTCCACCTCTGCTTCTCTGCTTGGCCACCATGGTAAGAGTTCCCTGCCACGGTGAGTTTTGCTGAGCTTGCCAAGTGTTTCAGCCAGATTAGTCCCTGGAGAAGCGCTCCTGGACACATCCTTCCCGCAGCCTCTGTGTCTCGTGATGCTGGGCAGGACTTACGGTGCAGGATGTGGCTTCCAGGACTTGGTGGTCCCCAGTGTCCAGCTGTAGGAAGCAGGTTTTGGAAGAGATTCTTGTTTTCCTCTGGTATAAAGTGTCCCTGCAGGATGTAGGACCTGGAACGGTTGTACCCTGAGTCATGGGGTGAGAATTGACTCCGGGAGGGAACGAGAGCATCGTCTCTGGATTGTGGTTGCACCCTGAGCCAACCAGAGCTTCAAACCAAATCTTGGGAGACCCTTGAGTGAGCACCCCAAGGAAACATTGAGGGGCTTTACGCTCGGAAAGCTGATGTTTTAGGAGAAGAATAACATGAAATATTGTGAATGGAGAAAACTCAAAAGTGACTGGGAGACTCTCCTCCTGCCTTGGCAGCCCAGCGCTGGCACCGTTGCTGGCGAAGGCAGCACCTGAGGTGTCCTTCAAGCTTCCCTCCTCCTTGTGCAGAAGTGAGAGGGTGCTGTTTATTTTTTAGGTAAACAAGCAAATCCTCCCAGTCAAATGAAAAAGGAACCCAAGCCGGCAGCGGGGATTTCCAGCATTCCTCAGTTCACTGCACATCAGACTTTCCCTTCCCAAAAAGTGAAAGAAAAAGACACTAGAAAGTCTCCAGGGAATTGTGAATTGTCCGGCTGCGACAGCGACGGCTTGAAAATCTGAGCGAGGGGAAGCAGAGCATCCCAGGCCAGGATTAGCAAGCTCTTGGACGATGGCTTTGCCCCAGGCATGGTCAGGTCCGTGGCTGCAGGTCTGTGGCTGCGGTTGCCCCAGCTTGAGGACATCTGCCGCAGGCACAACAGCCTCATGCCACCTGCTCTCGGTGTCCCTGCTCCTTCCGTGCACACCACGGGCAAGACAAAAATGCATCAGGAGCAGCAATATGGCCCATGTCTCCAGCGTGGCTGCAGCTTGCAGGGTGCCGTGGTGTCCATCTCCTGCTGGATAGGGTCTGTGGGATGGGAGGTTACTCCAGTCCCAGCAGCTGTGGCTCAGGTTTGGGTGGGAGAGGCTCTTGGAGAGGCACAGGAGTCTGCAAGAAGGGAGCCTGGGGCAAAGCAAATGTGGGGGGGGGGGTCAAGAAGAGAAGGGAGGACCCACAAAGCTGTAGGAGAAAGGAAAGATGCTTTCGGGGCTCAGCAGGAGAGCGTGAGGGGTTTATTACAGGTCAGGGAGGTACGGAGTCACCGGATTGAACCTACTCAGGAAGGAACAGCCCTTGTCCTCAGGGGTTGTGGGAGGGAGGAAGGAACTGCACGTGTCCGCAGGGCTTGGGGGATCTGTTTAGAAATGCTTTTATTCCTCTGGTGGCTACACTGCATGGATGACCTCACGCCAGCTCCTCCTGGGCCAAGTCACACTTCTGAGCTGTGAGGGCTCCATCTCTCCGCAGGAGAAGACCTGAGCAAAGCTCAGCAGCTACAGGGGCTGAGTAGGCATTGTCATCCTTTCTACCAGGTTGGGACCTGCCCGGGCTCCTTGAACCTTCAACAGCAGCAGATGTGTCTCCTACTGCAGCTGCAGTTGAGGAGACCTGGGCATGACCAGAGCAGTTCTCAGCACTGAGTGGTTCCCCTCAAGTTTTCTCAGAAGCCTCCCCAGGGATGACACAGTCCCAGAGGCAGAGGGTGGCTGGGGAGAGGGGTGTCAATGGGAAGAAGGACTTGAGATGGCCCCTCGAGTAGCTCTGACTGGGTGACCTTATATGATCTTGAAAAGAGAAGACTTCGGGGGGACCTAATAGCTGCCTTCCAATAC